ACGGTCAGACACAATTTCCGTCGGCAAGCCATGGAGTCTAAACACATGGTCGAACAAAAGTCTGGCAGTCTGGTGAGCAGATGGAAGTTTGTTCAGTGGTATCAGATGGCATGCCTTGGAGAACCTGTCGATGACGGTGAGGATGACCGTCTTGTGATTGGATGGGGGTAGACCAGTGACGAAATCCAGGGCTATGTGTGACCACGGACGACTAGGCGTGGGTAGAGGTTGGAGGAGGCCAGAAGGTGGTCTGCTGGAACATTTGTTGCGGGCACAGACAGGACAGGCAGAAACAAACTCAAAAACATCCCTGTTTAGGGACGGCCACCAGAAATATCGTCTGATGAAGGCGATGGTGCGACTGGAGCCAGGGTGACCAGAGAACCTAGATGAATGCCCCCACCGGATTACCTGGGAACGGACAGCAGAAGGGACATAGAGTCGGCGAGGAGGGCCGCCTCCAGGATCAGGTTCATTCTCCAGCGCCCGTTGAATCTGTTTCTCCAATCCCCAGGCGATTGCCCCAATGACGCAGGATTTGGGGATGATGGTCTCTGGATCAGTGGAATCAGGGGCGGCAGGAAACAGTCGGGACAGTCCATCTGGTTTAACGTTTTTGGAGCCAGGGCGGTAGGTGATGGTAAAATGGAAACGTGAAAAAAAAAGTGCCCAACGGCTCTGACGAGAGTTCAGGCGTTTAGCAGACTGGATGTAGGAAAGGTTCTTATGATCTGTCCAGATAATAATTGGCAACTCTGTCCCCTCCAACCAGTGGCGCCACTCCTCCAGAGCCAGTTTAATGGCCAGCAGCTCACGATCTCCCACATCGTAGTTTTTCTCGGCTGGAGTGAAACGCCTAGAAAAGAAAGCACAGGGATGGAGCTTGCCATCAGAGACAGACATCTGGGACAGGATGGCCCCGACCCCGGTATCCGAGGCATCGACCTCCATGGTGAACTGGGCCAAAGGATCAGGGTAAACCAGGATGGGGGCTTTTGTGAACCTCTCCTTGAGGAAACGAAAAGCCTGATCGGCTCCAGGAGACCAAGTAAAGATTGTCTTGGTGGAAGTGAGGGCTGAGAGGGGCGAGGCAATGACACTATAGTCCTTGATAAACACTCTGTAGAAATTGGCAAACCCAAGGAAGCGTTGGAGGTCCTTTCGGGTCTTGGGTGTGGGCCAGTCGACCACAGCTTTGACTTTGGCTGGATCCGTCTTCACCTGTCCACCCTCAAAGATGAAGCCGAGGAAACTTATGGACTCACGGTGGAACTCACATTTTTCTGCCTTGACAAATAAACGGTTCTCTAGGAGCCGCTGGAGGACCTGGCGGACGTGCTGCCGATGTTGTTTGGGGTCTCTAGAGAAAATGAGGATGTCGTCTATGTAGACAAACACAAAATGATTAATGAAGTCTCTGAGTACATCATTTATGAGGGCTTGGAAGACAGCTGGGGCATTAGTTAGGCCGAAAGGCATGACCAGATACTCGAAGTGGCCTATCGGTGTCTTGAAAGCCGTCTTCCACTCATCTCCCTCCCTGATACGGACCAGATGATAAGCGTTGCGGAGGTCCAGTTTGGTGAAGATTGTGGCTCCACGTACTGTATCAAAGGCTGAAGCCAGAAGGGGTAAGGAATATTTGTTTTTGATAGTTATCTGATTGAGGCCTCTGTAATCTATGCAGGGACGTAGTGTTTTATCTCTCTTTTGGACAAAGAAAAAACCTGCCCCAACAGGGGAGGATGATGGACGAATAATGCCCGCTTTCAGTGACTCTGCTATATATCTCTCCATAGCTCCCTGTTCAGAATGAGACAGTTTATAAAGACGGGCTGACGGCAGGGGAGCCCCTGGGAGGAGATCGATGGAACAATCGTAGGGACGATGAGGGGGAGGCTTAGAGCTAGATCCTTGCTAAACACACGCCGGAGGCAAAGATAATCAGATGGAACTTGGGACAGATCAGGAGGAACCTCTGGGGAAACAGGGTCTACTGAAGAACGGGGAAGGGCTGACTGCAGACACGAAGCCAGACAACTGGTGCTCCATGTTTCAATTCGTGACTCCCTCCAATTAATTAGAGGGTTATGGGCTGCCAACCACGAATAGCCCAAAACAACAGGAGAGTGTTTGGTGGGAAATACAAAAAAAGAGAGGTCTTCATGATGATTACCAGAAGAAATGAATTTAAGGGGAAGTGTCTGATGGGTAATGGTGACTAGGGGGCTGCCGTCCAAAGCAACTACTGAGACTGGAGATGGTAACAAACGAACAGGTATGTGAAGTCTGTTAACCAAGGCTGGATCAATAAGATTCTGCTCTGAGCCTGAATCTATGAGGGCTGAGACCGGATGTTGTGACTCTTGGAAACAAATAACAGATTGTAAAAGAAACCAGGGAGCGGGGGTCTCAGAACACGCGCCCGCCAGTATCCCCTGGACTACTGGCGGGCTGGATCTTTTGGGCGGACGGGACAGTCAAAACGAAAATGCCCAGAGGTGCCACAGTAGAGGCACTGTTTAGCCCTCATACACCTGTCTCTTTCTTCCGGGGACAGGTGAGCCCTGCCTAGTTGCATGGGTTCGTCCAACGGTTGGCTCTCTGGGAGAGCCGAACGGTAACTAGGAGGCGTGACCGAGGAGGGAGGGGCGAGGCGTTGCGCTGGAAGAGGGTCCTGTCCCCGTCTCTCACGGGCTCTTTCACGGAGCCGATCGTCCACCCGAATGGCTAGACCAATCAGTTCCTCTAGGTCTGATGGTTTGTCTCGGGTGGCTAATTCATCTTTTAATTTTTCGGTGAGTCCATTAAGAAACGCCGCTTTAAGAGCTAGGGCGTTTCAACCTGTCTGAGAAGCCAGGGTCCGGAACTCGACCGCAAAGTAGGCTACCGAGCGGCCTCTCTGTTTCAGAGACCACAGTCTCTTAGCAGCCTCCTCCTCGCTTAACGAGGAGGAGAACGTTCTTTTGAACCGAGCGAGGAAGTCAGCATAACTAAGACTGAGGATGCTCGTTTCATCAATAAATGACTCCGCCCAACTCAAGGCTCTATCTCTGAGGAGACCGACAACATAGGAAATCCTCCCAGCGTCATCTGGAAAAGACTGGGGGGAACGACAGAAAACTAAGGAGCACTGCAATAAGAAACCCCTGGACTTACTCAGCTCACCAAAGAAAGGTTCTGGAGAAGGCGCGGACACCCCGACACCAGAGGTCGAAGGCGGCGCGATATCAGCGGGAGGTTGGACAGCTTGGGGAGAAGGAGAGGTAGGTTGATTCATGCTTAATTGTCCTCTTAGGTCCTGAATCTCGTGAGTCAGTAAACTCATGGCTTGACAAAGTTGTGCCTGCTGTTGGCTCATAGATTGTAATAGAGCCTCATGCTGTCCTAGCAATAACCCCTGGTGGGAAACTGCGCTCCGAAGTTGCGCCCCTGAGTCAGGCTGGTCAGTTCTTTCTGTCATGATAGAAAAGAACGACTCAGGATCAGAGCAACCACGGAGACAGACAGTTAGTTTTAACTGGTTTATTGTAAAGTGCTGGTAGACAGGTGATGACTGGTTTGGTATCTTCTGGCCTGCTTGGAGGGTGAAGGAGGTGGTCAGAAACAGCCTGTGGCAGTAAGAATGTGGAGAGCTCAAAACTCACAGAGTGGGAGGCTTGCCCCGAGCGATGGGGGGGTGGAGTCTGTGGTCCGGTGCAATCCAGCGGTTCCCTCAGTCTCTCTTGTGCAGATGGTTTTTGAGGGTGGACAGGCAGGCGATCAGAGGAGTCCAGCTCCCTGGCTTGTGATTTCTCTGGCTTGGATTTCAGGTTCTAAGGAGGAAAAGACAGAGACAAAATATCAGGTCTGGTTCGGATGAAACTCGGAAAGTTTTGTTGGGTCATGTACCACGCTGGAAGCGAGAAAGAACTGACGCCCTCCTCCTGGTCTCTGCTCCTTAAGAAGGGCTGAAATCAGCAGTGATGAGGAGCACCTGCCAGTCCACCCTGCAGAGAAGAGAGAGAGAGAGAGAGAGAGAGACAACCCATCCCTGAACCCAGGCCTGGAGCATGACAGTTTTACCTGGCAGTCTTTCATTATTCCCCCATTGATGCAGCTTTTATACTGTTACAGCAAATACAAATTTTACATAGATTAATGTATATTCATTATGATATATATATATATATATATATATATATATATATATATATATATATATATATATATATATATATATATATATATATATATATATATATACATATGTATATATCATAATGAATATACATTAATCTATGTAAAATTTCTGTAATGGCAGAAATCCCTCTTTTATTCGGTGTTCAGCCAAGTCGCCTCAGCAGAGATGATTGATTCATCATCAGCTGCATCACTGAACACTGGTGGAGAGCTGGACAGACTAGATTGTTCCAGAGCCACTCAGCACCCCTGATGGTGCGCATGAAGCTGCTGGTTGTCTAATATCTGATAGCCATCCAGTCTGTGATACAGTGAGGAACGCACTGCTGCAGGTCTCACAGCAAACAAACCTGTATCACTTTTTCAGTTCTTTATTCAGTGCATCATAAAAACATGATATACAAATATTTCAGAATTGTACAAAGCAGCTGGTTATGTTTAATATTCTGATCTGCTAGGTGAATCTGGGTTTTTGTTCACTTTCAGTCCAAATTATCAGCAATATAAAAACTAATGCTAGAATATTGAGCTCCATGTTTGATGATATTTGTCCAGAATATATTTTCCTCTTTGGGGAAAATGTTTCACCATGTTCTGATGTTCCTGGAAAGCAGCTGCAGCTCTTTTAGATCCTTCATCCTGAGCGGAACCACCTGCAGACAGACAGCATAACCAGAAGTGATGCAGGACTGAACCAGAACCACCAGAAGCTGCTCTGTGTTTGGGTTTTTCTGCAGTTTCTCTCCAGCAGCTGAAACTATTGAGGTGACTGCCGCTTGCTTCTGGTCTCATTTCCTGCTTTGTTCATTTTGGTTTCACGCCATCTCTGATCCTGCAGCTCAACCAGACCTCTGAAGAACTCTCAGGTAAGTAGAACCACTCTGTCCTTCTACGGGTCAGAACCACTCTTTTGTTCTACGGGTCAGAACCACTCTGTCGTTCTACGGGTCAGAGCCACTCTGTCGTTCTACGGGTCAGAACCACATCCGATTATGGAATCAAAGAGAGAGGAGCTTAGACTGGGGCTCTCAGTGATGGAGTCCAACATGCTGGGGTAGCTGGTTCCATCTGTTTTAGGCTATGATTGCACAGACTGGATGTTCAGATGAGACCTTAGAATCAACAGGAACAGACCAGAATCAGACCCAACGGATCTAACAGACACTGTGGCCATACAGCGCTGAAACTACAAGCCCAACTGATCAGAACCAAAAAAAGGACCCAAAAGCAGCGTATTGAGTTCCTTAGATGGGGATGAAAATTGGGTCTAATGGGAATCAGCTGTTTTAGCTTCTGAGGGGTGAAATGGACTGCTTGAACTCTCACAGTTCTCCTTCACAGTTGGATCCAACTATTTCACTTTGATCCAAAGCAGAAGTTTTCCAGGAACCTCTGGGTCTGAAGAAGATTGTCTTAGTGAGTCCAGCAGAACCATCTAGAAAATGTCATATTTTAGTTCCTCTTAGGTCTGCATAGCTCTGAAAACAAGACATGTCTTTAAAGGTTGGTGGTGAGTGTCTCGGGCCAGTAATAGAACAGCAGGTTCCCACGGCATCTGGGGGGGTGGGGGTGGGGGCTGGGGGGTGGGAGGGGGCAGTACATGATGTTCATATCTAGGTTCAGAATCATAACAGCTGGTGAGACCAGGTCATCTTTAATGTGGTCACTAAAGAACTATGATGTTCTGTTAGCGGAGCGGTGGTGGAGCTTTAACCGTCAGCTTGGCTGTTTATTCTCAGCAGCCTGTGGTTCTTCACCTCACACTGAACTTCCTGTCCGACAGCCTACTCCTTCCAGCTCCTGTGAGTTCTGCTCAAACTTCTCCATCTACCATGACGGACAGCAGAAGAACCTTGGATCAGAGCTGTTGGAGATCCAGTAGAATAATTCACAGTAAACGGGAGTTTTATATGACCAAGGATGTTAATCCTTATGTTAATGACATGACGCCTAAATCCACTCATCAAATGGGAAAAATAAAAAAATCTATCTATAAAGATGGCAATGATAAGAGTATTAGATTGATGTTAGGACCTTAAACTGACCATAAAGGTGAATCCAGGAGAGCGGGAATAGGGCTGATTACTGTGCCGTAAGGGCTGTTCTCTCTTTGCAAAGATAAGAAAATAAAGTGCAGACTGAGTGAAATCGATCAATCTCCGTTTTTTTAACAAGGGTTAATAGCTGAATACTTCTTCCCACTACAGCAGCCTGGCAGCACCACTGATGGGAGCTTTTTCCTCAGTGAATGAATTTTGTCAGATAAACACTTATTTCTTGAATATGACGTAGATATTCTAGTTGAGACACATCTAGAGACAAAGAAACTGCAGACCATAGGCGTTTTTAGCCTATTTTTGGCCAGAGCTACCCTAATTTGAATTAAAGAACCCCTAAAATACGAGTAGTTTTTGTAATACTGTATGTGCTTTTCACAATAAAAAACAAAAACAAACAAAATGTGACATTGTAAAAACTATAAAGTATTTGGTTATTTAACTCCTTCAGTTATATTCTGGTTCATCAGAAATATTAATAAATAAACAAAAAACAAGTTAAAAAAAAGTCAGATGGGTCTCCTTAACTAAAATGTTGACCAACGCTTTGAGGAAATCATTGCATTCAGGTGTTTTCTGAAATGTTCAGTCAGATTTCTGCACCTATTGATAGTGTGTTGATGAAATGTTCACCAGAGAGGTGCACTAATGCGTCTGAGATTCGTATCAATATCAATACTTAAATGTACTGAATCATTAGTAAATCGTTATCATTTCTTTCCGTTTGTAGTTATTTGAATTTATAATCCATTTTATGATTGCCAGTCTAAAGAGGGAGAGGAGTAAAGGGGGAGCAGAGGAGCAATGTGTTCAAATTGAAAGGTAAGAAAAACAACAGAATGGCATCAGGCCAAACAGCAGTTGTTAAACTGGCATAGAAAAACATTTCATTCAGTAGATTATTTTAAATATATCATGGAAGTAATTTTGGCACACAAAAGAGAAAAAAAAACATTTCATGAAAACTGATTCAAAGGTTTCCATGAAATAAGTTGATTTAAAATCTTTAATTGGTTCGAATTTTCTTCTAAAAAATCCTGCTTTTTGCTTTTCTTGTTAGGTTCTTGGCACATGTCTCAGATACCATGCATTAGTGAATGATACACTGATCAAGTTTCAAAAATATGAGTAGAAAACAGTGAAATTAATGTTGTCTGGCCAGGTAGCTCTCTGGGTAAGCATCCCTAAACCTCTGCTCCTATAATCGCCCCTGCTGGAGTCGCTGATGATCTGATTCCTTCTGACTCTGCTGTTTGTCAAGGAAGTATGTCTGCTGCAGCCCACATGGTTGTGTGCCTAGAGGATGTGAGACCTGACTGAAGTCATGTGATCCAAACCCATTCTGACCATTAGGGTTGCATGTTTCCTCTCCACAGAGCCTGATTGCCAAGAGGAGGAGCAAGCTGCAGAATCCGACCATGTTGAGTCTATCCCTGCTGGTTATGTTGGTGGTGATGATGACCATAGACCGTTAGTAACCTAAGTTTCATTATTACCTCACAAACAAAATAACTCTCTTAAAATGGCCCCGATCCATCTCACCAAACAGGTCATCAATTGAACAACAAAATAAAGAGGAACAAAAGCAAACCTACCACAGATAAGTGGTAGCCATGGCAGCAAGATCCTAACCACAGCTGTCTTTCGAATACCCGGAAAAAACTCTGGCGTAGGAAGAGTTCGGAAAGAGGCCATGGAGAAAGACTTCCATACAACTTCGAAGTTATTCTGGTCCACAATCCGCATCTCAGGAGGGGGAAGCAGTGCAGTACCAACACAATTTATAGTGGGGGTGGTGTGCTGCTGACCTCAACTCAGGATATTGTATGTCGGTGGGCAGAGTACTTCAAAGACCTCCTTAACCCCACCAACACGTCTTCCATTGAAGAAGCAGAGCCTGGGGGCTCCGGGTTGGATTCTTCCATCTCTGTTGCTGAGGTCACTGAGGTGGTTAAAAAGCTCCTTGGTGGCAAGGCCCCAGGGGTGGATGAGATTCGCCCTGAGTACCTTAAGGCTCTGGACGTTGTGGGGCTGTGTTGTTTAACGTGGTTATTCAACATTGGGTGGACATCAGGGGCAGTTCCCCTGGATTGGCAAACTGGGGTGGTGGTCCCCCTATTTAAAAAAGGGGACCGGAGGGTATGTTCCAACTACAGAGGAATCACATTCTTAAGCCTCCCTGGTAAGGTCTATTCCAGGGTTCTGGAAAGGAGGGTCCTTTGGATAGGAGGAGCAGTGTGGTTTTCATCCTGGCATGGCTGGCATTAAGTCGTACTCGTTTCCCGTGAGGGTTGGACTCCCCAAAGGTTGCCCTTTGTCACTGATTCTATTTATAACTTTTATGGATAGAATTTCTAGGTTCAGCCAAGGTGTTCAGGGGATCTGTTTTGGTACCGGTCTGGTGTGATGAAGAGAGAGCTGAGCCAACAAGCAAAGCTCTTGATATACAGGTCGATCTGCGTTCCTACCCTCATCTATGGTCATGAGCTTTTGGTCATGACTGAAAGAATAAGATCCCGGATACAAGTGGCTGGAATTAGTTTTCTCTGCAGGGTGTCTGGGCTCTCCCTTAGAGATAGGGTGAGGAGCTCAGTCATCCTCCACATCGAGAGGAGCCAGTTGAGGTGGCTCAGGCATTTGGTTAGAATGCCTCTTTGACGTCTCCCTGGTGAGGTGTTCCAGTCATGTCTCACCGGGAGGCCCAGCGGGAGACCCAGGACACGCTGGAGGCACTATGTTTCTCGGCTGGCCTGGGACGGCCTTGGCATTCCCCCGGAGGAGCTAGCCCAAGTGGCTGGGGAGAGGGACGTCTGGGCCTCCCTACTGAAGCTGCTACCCCCGCGACCCAACCCCGGATAAGCGGAAGAAGATGGACGGATGGTTGGATATATATATATATATATATATATATATATATATATATATATATATATATATATATATATATATATATATATATATATATATATATATATATATATATATATACACGTGTGTATGTGTATATACATATGCATACACAAATCATGGAGGGGTCTGAAATTGTCATTGTAGGTGCATGTCCACTGTGAGAGACATAATTTTAAAAAAATCCAGAAATCACAATATAGGATTTTTTAGCTATTTATTTGTATGATACAGCTGCAAATACTTATTTAAACACCTGAGAAAATCAATGTTAATATTTGGTACAGAATCCTTTGTTTGCAATTCCAGAGTTGAAACGTTTACTGTATTTTTTTTTTTTTTTTTTTTTTTACCAGGTTTGCACACACTGCAGGTGGGATTTTGGCCCACTCCTCCATGAAGACTCTAGATCAGAATCAGAATCAGATTTATTTCCAAGTAGGTTTCAGTAGAGAGATTTTATTTTGTCCTTCTGTATACACAAGTGTAAACACAAAGAGATTTAATTAAGAAAAGCTCTCAATTACATTTTTTAAGTGCAGCCTTGATAAGGTAAGCAGCAGTGTAGAAAAACACTACTGTTAACAATGTAAAGATATGATTGTAACGTTACAGTTCTAACATTCAACATTTCTTTCAATTAACATTCTTTTTTTTCATGAAATCATGACGTCTTAGTGTATCACCAACAGTTACCATGAAAATTATGGTCCCAGATCTTTTCAGGTCATTGACCAGCTCCGCCCTTGTAGTTCTGGGATGATTTCTCACCTTTCTTAGGATCATTGAGACCCCACGAGGTGAGATCTTGCATTGAGTCCCAGTCTGAGGCAGATTGACAGTCAGGTTTAGCCTCTTCCATTTTTGAATGATTGCTCCATCGGTGAACCTTTTTTCACCAAGCTGCTTTGCAATTTTCTCATAGTCCTTTCCAGCCTTGTGAAGGTGTACACACTTTAGTATCTAGTGTCTTTTGACAGCTCTTTAGTCTTTACCATGTCAGGAGTTGGATTCTTACTGATTGTATGGGGTGGACAGGTGTCTTTATGCAACTAACAGCCTCAAACAGGTGCATTTAATTTAAGATAATAAATGAAGTGGAGATGGATATTTTGAAGGCAGACTAACAGGTCTTTGAGGGTCACAATTCTGGCTGATAGATGGGTGTTTAAATACTTATTTGTAGCTTAATTATACAAATAAATAGTTGTAAAAATCACGTATATGAAAAAAATCATATATGTGACCTTATATATATATACATTTTCAGACCCCTCCATGATTTCTAACGAGAATGAACTAGCAATATAGCAGGCTATTCAAATACTTATTTTCCTCAATGCATATATATATATATAATTATACATTTTAGAAAGCATAACCATCGTTTGACAAGTTTTTGGTACTTTGAACAAACATTGGGACCTGTCTAAATCTACCTGAAGCAGACAGAGGGAAAATGCAGATCTTTATCTGTTAAGACAAACCTAGATCCAATGCTGGACAATGTAAGAATTTGTATTTAGAAATCCCTTTAATGTTTAAATGAAATTCTATTCTAGCTATATAAATAGACTATATTCTGATAAAAGATAAAATTTCCTTTAACACTATAAGCACCGCCATGGTTGGCAGGTGTGATACTAATCCATTACATGTTCTCTCTGTGTAATTTCTAAATCCCAGCTTCATCTGCTGACACCTTAACCGTATCTGTAATCAGTGGTCAAAGTGCTGTGCTGCCATCCGGCCTCAAGAGCCAGAGGATGGCTAAAACAAGGGATGTCAGGTGGACACACGCCAACCTGCTGCTCAACAACAGGACCACCAAGTGTCACCATGGCCGCTGCCAACTCCTTCAGGACGGATCACTGAGCTTTAGCAAAGTGCAGGAGGAAGACTCAGGAATTTACATGCTGGAGATCTATGATCAACAAGGAACAATGAAGGAGAGGAAGGTGTTCCATCTGCAAGTACAAGGTTAGTCTGTAGAAAAAAAACTTCCACCTCCATAAAAATGGAGGTTAATTTGTACAAGTAAAAAAATGGAAATCTAAACAAAATTCAGCAGACTATAGCTAACCCTATCGGCGAATGACATGCTTTTTACCAATATTGACCAACCGGTAACATTAACTCATTGACAAGTTACCAACAGGTGCCAACTGATAACAATAACTTATTTATATACACTGCCTGGCCAAAATAAAATCGCCAACTGGATTCAACTAAGCAAATAGCTATGAGCCTCCTATTGGATTATTACTGCATGGGCGATTATCTTTCAGCTGGCAACAAGTTATTTAACCCCAACTGGTGCAATGACTTGCCTCTCATTTCCTAAACAACCATGTCGAAAGACACATCTCGTGGTCGTGGAAAAGATGTTAGTCTGTTTGAGAAGGGTCAAATCATTGGCATGCATCAAGCAGAGAAAACATCTAAAGAGATTGCTGAAACTACTAAAATTGGGTTAAGAACTGTCCAACAATGTGGCCGGGAAATAATCCTGAATGATCATGATCGACGATCACTTAAACATGTGGTGGGATCAAATCGAAGAAAAACAACAGTAGAACTCAGGGCTATGTTTAATACTGAAAGTAAGAGCATTTCCACACACACAATGCGAAGGGAACTCAAGGGATTGGAACTGAACAGCTGTGTAGCCGTAAGAAAACCACTAATTAGTGAGGCTAACCGGGAAAAAAGGCTTCAATTTGCTAGAGAGCATAAAGATTGGACTGTGGAGCAATGGAAGAAGGTCATGTGGTCTGATGAGTCCAGATTTACCCTGTTCCAGATTGATGGGCGAATCAGGGTAAGAAGAGAGGCAGGTGAAGTGATGCGCCTACTGTACAATCCTGTGGGGGCGGTGTTATGATCTGGGATTGCTGCAGTTGGTCAGGTCTAGGTTCAGCAACAGTATGTGCTCAAAGAATGAGGTCAACTGACTACCTGTATATACTGAATGACCAGGTTATTCCATCAATGGACTTTTTCTTCCCTGATGGCACAGGCATATTCCAAGATGACAATGCCAGGATTCATTGGGCTCAAATTGTGAAAGACAGGTTCAGGGAGCATGACACATCATTTTCACACAGGGATTGGCCACCACAGAGTCCAGACCTCAACCCCATTGAGAATCTTTGGGATGTGCTAGAGAGGGCTTTGCGCAGCGGTCAGACTCTACCATCATCAATGCAAGATCTTGGTGAAAAATTAATGCAACACTGGATGGAAATAAATCTTTTGACATTGCAGAAGCTTATCGAAACAATGCCACAGCAGTGCGTGCCGTAATCAAAGCTAAAGGCGGTCCAACAAAGTATTAGAGTCAGTGACCTTTTTTTTTGGTGGCGACTTTTTTTTTGGCCAGGCAGTGTAGTTACCAGCAGTAACCAACCTATAACAATAATTTATTGATGGGTTACCAACAGTAACCAACCTGTTGCTAACCTAACAGTTACTAACCATAACCCTGTTTGAGTAGTTTACCAACCCAGCGCTGGTCAAATATTGGACAGAAAACATATTGGGTTGATTTAACCCAACAAATTGGGTTGGTTCCCTTAAAGGAATAGTACACCCAAAACATGATTAGCCTTCATTTTCTACTCACCCCCATGCTGAACAACACTCTGGAGTACTTTTTTGATATCTCAAATGCATCTGGAGATCTGGGAGGCTTCTTGCTGTCTGCTCACATTCAAATAATGGAGGTCTATGGTGCCCGAGGCAGAAAGGTCCATAAAAGTCCACAAAAAACTATTCCTTTGATACAACAGTTGGGTTGTTAAGGTAAAAAAATTCAAAGGTCAAACTGACTACACTGCTGGGTTCAGTTAACCCAGCAAGTTGGGTTGTTAAATATATAATTATTATTTTACATGCTAAAATATGTGATAATTATTACATTATTTTACAATAATGATTATTATTTTTAAATATATTACAACTATTAGTTATTAATATTGTAATTCTATTATTCATCATTTTGTTCATGAAATATATGCTCACATCAATAATGTTATAATAAATATTATATTTAAAATATACAGAACAATCAGAAATAGAAAAAAATATGTTAAATTAGAAAAATTTCCATAAAATTGTAATGTAAGTTTACACTCCTTCAGATATTGCAGGTGGAAAATAAAAACCTAATAAAGCACATACAGGTGCTGGTCATAAAATTAGAATATCATGAAAAAGTAGATTGATTTCAGTAATTCCATTTAAAAAGTGAAACTTGTATATTATATTCATACATTACATACAAACTCATATATTTCAGATGTTTATTTTGTTTAATTTTGATGATTACAAATGACAACAAATGAAAATCTCAAATTCATCATATCAGAAAATTAGAATATTACTGAAGACCAATAAAAACAAAGGATTTATAGAAATGTTGGCCAACTGAAAAGTATGAACATGAAAAGTATGAGCATGTACAGCACTCAGTATTTAGTTGGGCCTCCTTTGGCCTGTATTACTGCAGCAATGCGGCGTGGCATGGAGTCGATCAGTCTGTGGCACTGCTCAGGTGTTATGATAGCCCAGGTTGCTCTAATAGTGGCTTTTAGCTCTTCTGAATTGTTGGGTCTGGTGTATTGCATCTTCTTCTTCACAATACCCCATAGATTTTCTATGGGGTTAAGGTCAGGAGAGTTTGCTGGCCAATTAAGAACAGGGATACCATGGTCCTTCAACCAGGTACTGGTAGCTTTGGCACTGTGTGCAGGTGCCAAGTCCTGTTGGAAAATGAAATCTGCATCTCCAAAAAGTTGGTCAGCTGCAGGAAGCATGAAGTGCTCTAAAACTTCCTGGTATGTGGCTGCGTTGACCCTGGACCTCAGAAAACACAATGGACCAACACCAGCAGATGACATGGCACCCCAAACCATCACTGACTGTGGAAACTTTACACTGGACTTCAAGCAACGTGGATGAAGTGCCTCTCTTCTTTTCCTCCAGACTCTGGGACCTTGATTTCCAAAGGAAATGCAAAATTTACTTTCATCAGAGAACATGACTTTGGACCACTCACCAGCAGTCCAGTCCTGTTTCTCTTTAGCCCAGGCAAGACGCTTCTGACGCTGTCTGTGGTTCAAGAGTGGCTTGACACAAGGAATGCGACAGCAGAAACCCATGTCTTTCATACGTCTGTGTGTGGTGGTTCTTGAAGCACTCACTCCAGCTGCAGTCCACTCTTTGTGAATCTCCCTCACATTTTTGAATGGGTTTTGTTTCACAATCCTCTCCAGGGTGCGGTTATCTCTCTTGCTTGTACACTTTTTTCGACCACATCTTTTCCTTCCCTTCGCCTCTCTATTAATGTGCTTGGACACTGAGCTCTGTGAACAGCCAGCCTCTTTAGCGATGACCTTTTGTGTCTTGCCCTCCTTGTGCAAGGTGTCGATGGTCGTCTTTTGGACAACTGTCAAGTCAGCAGTCTTCCCCATGATTGTGTAGCCTATAGAACTAGACTGAAAGACCATTTAAAGGCTTTTGCAGGTGGTTTGAGTTAATTAGCTGATTAGAGTGTGGCACCAGGGGCCATCAATTTTGAACCTTTTCACAATATTCTAATTTTCTGATATGATGAATTTGAGATTTTCATTTGTTGTCATTTGTAATCATCAAAATTAAACAAAATAAACATCTGAAATATATGAGTTTGTATGTAATGTATGAATATAATATACAAGTTTCACTTTTTAAATGGAATTACTGAAATCAATCTACTTTTTCATGATATTCTAATTTTATGACCAGCACCTGTATGAACAGCAGAGCTGTCTCATGTTAACTAGCTTTGCCCAAGATCACAATGAAGGCTTGAGAGCAAAGAAATCTATTTGCCAGTAGCAGCAGACATGGGTGCGACCTGGAGGACTCTGCTTTCTCCAAGTCCTCCTAAATGTTAGTTTTGACCTATGGCAAGAAATAAAAGACCAACCAAAAAAGACCAACCAAGCTGCAGGTTCATTTAAACAGAACCTTGGCAAATTGTTGCCTTGGCAACAATAGTCCACTCCGCCATTTTTTGTGAAAAATTATTCTGTTACTTAAAGTCGTAGGGAAATCATATTTAAATGTCTAATCATTCTGGCCTAAACAAGTATATAAATGTTCTCTTTATCAGATGATGTTGTCCCAAAAGTTAGAAAGTTTCTATTGTAAAAGAAATCCTGTCTTTTATTTTATTTTTTTTCCGTTATCTTATGCAGTCCAGTTAGTTATAATTAACTAATTTAGGTGTCAGCTTGTACACCTAAATTCGGCCAATCATATATCAACGGTCATGTGTCCATCACATTTTTTCAGTCATAGCATCTTGATTCATATGTCGCAGCTTATATACGCAACGTTGAAATAAAAATAATTTACTTTACCATTGAGTTCCGTCCCAGTGTTCACAGGGATGGACGTCTTGTGTAGTAGAGCTAACAGAACTGGCAGCGTTGCGAGGCAAGGGCTCAAACATGTACGACTGTAAGCCTTCTACACCAAACCAAGCTTCTGCGGCCCTGGCGTCCTCTTTCACAACGTCTTCGTCCCTGCTCCTCTAAATAGAAAATATATGATGGAGGAGACTCATCCACAACCTCCAACACAAAATTTTCCTCCTCTTGCATGTTTCCGCTGTCCATGGCGTTTCTTCGCAGTGTTGTTTCTAAGCCACAAATTTAATGCTACTTGGTCGCAATGTAATTTCCCATTGGGAACCTACTAGCACTAAATAAAGTTTGTCAAAACTTTTGTAACACATTAAAACATTTTAAAGATAACCCTATTGGAAAAAGGGACATACTAACATAAATGTTTAGCCGAAACTATTTTTCCGGCATTGCAAGACCTCGTACAGTTATTGTATTAAAGTATCTTTGTTGTGGTATCTAAACTTCAATTGAGTATTTATATTTCCAAGGAGTTTTTCCATTACTGCATTCCCTACATTTTGAATAGAAATATCTGTTCTTTCCACTCCTTATTAGATATTCAATTTACATTAACAGCAATTCTGTTAACAGATTTAGTGCTGTAATGAATCCCAGAGCTCTAAAGTATTCAGTTTTTTTATGCAGAACTTCTGCTCAGTTTAATGTAAATCATCCAGTTGCAGATTTTAATGTGGAACCAAACTGGACCCAGTCATTACATTTATGTTCTCTCCCCCAACACAGAGAGCCAGGCAGGAAAATTAACCACTTTTCTGTGCATAGAGCTGCCTTTATTAGTTTTTTTTATTTTTTTATCATTTAGGGGTAGGGTTGCCAACTTCCTGAGTGTGCTTTATATTAATTACGGTGGACTTTTTCCACCCAGGTATTTGTTTTTTCCCCATTCCTCCCCATATTTCGGCATCCTTTTTTTTTTCGGAGGAGGAGCATCGCTATAGGAAGGTGGACCACCACCAAAAGTAGCTTCAGCGTTTAAAGTACTCCGTTCGACCTCCATACTACTCTGTTGTCTCCCACTATCTTCTCCGTGAGCAACACTTGGCTCGAACAATGGGATGAGGGTATTCTAGATCATTACATTTATGTTGTCAGCTCATTGGTCACAATGCAGGACAGGGCCTGGGAACAAGTTTACCATAAGTTTTGTATCTAACGTGCCCTTGTTCTTCATTTTCCATTAGCTTTTTACTGACTGTTTTCTTACTCTCACAGTAACACGGGACAAAGTGTGTTCTTTTTCCACTAAATACACGACAAGTCCTTCTATTTCTAAATACAGAATGATTGTGTTTTTCTAGGGATGGTTCGCAAACCTATTTAGGAGTGTATTTTCCTTTGGTACTTAAGTAAAATGTAGAACCTGTATTATTTTACTCAAGTAAATGAGTTAAGTGAGTACTTTTACTTTCACCAGAGGCTTTTTTTTAACACAGGTATCTGTACTTTTACTTAAGTAAACAATGTGAGTATTTTCAACACTTCTGAAAAATACCAACCAGTTCACAACCTGTTACCAGCAGTTACCAGCCAGTCACCAAGCAGTCAGCAACCAGTCACCAAGCAGGTCCCACCCAGTTACCAAGCAGTTCCCACCCATTCACCAAGCACAGGTCAGACTGGAGATGGTTCCCACTCTGCATGAGGCTGATTGTAGCTCATTCAGTTCAAACATCAGTCTGATACCTGTTTACAGGTATCACTCGTGAGAGGATCGCCATCGTCGTTGTCATCTTGCTACTGCTCCTCCTCTGCATTACTTTCTTCTTCCTGAGAAAGATGATGCATCAAAGTTCCAGGACCTCAGGTGTGTCAGATGATCAGAGACAGCTGGTTCTTTACTTCAATTAGAACAGGGTGTGAAAGACTTATGTGCTGTGCTTCAGATTCCACAGAGGAGACCCACATCTACATGGCGATGCATGGTAACCGTGGAGACAGGGCCAAACAGGAAGAAGACAAGAAGCAGGAGGAACCCCTTTATGGTAAACAGTGATGTCTAAGTTAACATGTTGACACAATATTGACAGTTTCTAGTATTTATACTCCAGCACCAATCATTGACTGAGGGAGAAAAAGGGACGGATAGATGTAGGAGAGAGACTGAGAGTTGGAACATTGGTGTTGTTATGGACTGACTTTTGCTGAAGTTTTCATGGATTAAGATACAGATATGCCTTCATGTTGGGTCGCAGCTTTTTGATTTAACCCCCATGAGGATGGCGTCAGCTAATCTAAGTTTCGGGAAGGATCCTGAGCTGCTTTCAAAGCATGTGAAACAGGTTGAAACAAGTTGGAGCACTCCATGGTGTCTCTACTGTGCTTGGAACATTTTGGACATGGTTTTCAGTTTTTTTTCCCTCATTGAAAGACTAGTTATTTAATGAAAAACTTTTAGTTACCTGTGGTGTTCAGAGTAGCATTCATTTTGATGTCTCACTATGAGATATGCCCCTCCTACCTATTCCTCAGAAGCTTTTACTTCATTACGCCAATCCTGATTGGCTGGTTATCGCAACAGCTGCGATAAGCTGCTGGACACTACCTTTAAGTAGCTTGTGTCATGACACAGCATCCTTAAAAAAAAGCACCTCTTCTCGCTTCAACTGAGTGAGAACGGTTGTCTGGTGAGGGATCTTACTCATGCTACTCTGAGAATCGGGGTTACGCAAGTAACCTACAGTTCTCATTCATGGCATTCTTTTCAATTTCCCACTATGGGATAGAGAGACTTCAGTATAGCTAGGAAGCTCATCTCTAGCAGTCCCCAGCATCTAACTATGCTCAATCTGCTCCAGCAAGGACCCTGAGTTTAAAACTGCCAACAACGGAGGAACATGAGGGCTAAAAAGGGTCCCAGTATTCTCACACACTTCGCTCTTCTAGCTAGTCCAATTTCATTAGTCGTTTTCCCATAGGGGTGGTCATACAAACAAAACAAGCCGATAAGGTACCAAACAGGAAATACACATATTGTAGAGCCGATGTCAATTTGACCAATCAGAGGCCTCATATTTTGCATTCACTGCGACAGACACGCAGATGACCTGGTTTCTGAGTACAAACCAGGCTTAACACGTTTATCAGATGCCAAAGCCAAGAAGAGCACTTACTTGAAGGATAGATGTTTCATGTTAATATCCTCCAAAGGCTCAAATGGGAAGTAGCGAGACTTTACAACACAACTGCCAGATCCCATGGTGGAGTCAGGAACCTCGTAACTGGAAGAAGTCTGCATGCCCCCTTCATACAAACGGCCCACCAGAAGGTGCATGTTGACTGTTTTTCCCTTAAAGGCAACGTGGTAAGATGAAATAGCAGCCAGGTATACCTTAATTGTGGAGAGTTTTTGTTTTTCAATCAACCCTAGGAGGAAAGACATAATCTCTCCAACATGACATTGAAAAGGAAGTTGTCCCCTCTCAGAGCATGATTCCTCACTCACAACTTACAGTTGTGCAAGAACCGAGGGGAGGTGCTCTGTTGAGCTTCCATTATAGGCCAGGCCCATAGCTTTAGTTGTTCTGGATGTGGGTGAAACACTGTCCCCACTGCCTGAGACCCCATTTCCCCCCATATCGGGAGTTGCCTTAGCTGACCTCTTTGGAGCTGATATACACTATATTGCCAAAAGTATTTGCTCACCTGCCTTGACTCACATATGAGCTTAAGTGACATCCCGTTCCTAATCCATAGGGTTCAATATGACGTCGGTCCACCCTTTGCAGCTAGAACAGCTTCAACTCTTCTGGGAAGGCTGTCCACAAGGTTTAGGAGTGTGTTTATGGGAATTTTTGACCATTCTTCCAGAAGCGCATTTGTGAGGTCGCACACTGATGTTGGACGAGAAGGCCTGGCTCTCAGTCTCCGCTCTAATTCATCCCAAAGGTGTTCTATCGGGTTGAGGTCAGGACTCTGTGCAGGCCAGTCAAGTTCATCCACACCAGACTCTGTCATCCATGTCTTTATGGACCTTGCTTTGTGCACTGGTGCACAGTCATGTTGGAAGAGGAAGGGGCCAGCTCCAAACTGTTCCCACAAAGTTGGGAGCATGGAATTGTCCAAAATGTCTTGGTATGCTGAAGCATTCAGAGTTCCTTTCACTGGAACTAAGGGGCCAAGCCCAGCTCCTGAAAAACAACCCCACACCATAATCCCCCCTCCACCAAACTTTACACTTGGCACAATGCAGTCAGACAAGTACCGTTCTCCTGGCAACCGCCAAACCCAGACCCGTCCATCAGATTGCCAGATGGAGAAGCGCGATTCGTCACTCCAGAGAACGCGTCTCCACTGCTCTAGAGTCCAGTGGCGGCGTGCTTTACACCACCGCATCCGACGCTTTGCATTGCACTTGGTGATGTATGGCTTGGATGCAGCTGCTCGCCCATGGAAACCCATTCCATGAAGCTCTCTGCGCACTGTTCTTGAGCTAATCTGAAGGCCACATGAAGTTTGGAGGTCTGTAGTGATTGACTCTGCAGAAAGTTGGCGACCTCTTCGCACTATGCGCGTCAGCATCCGCTGACCCCGCTCCGTCAGTTTACGTGGCCTACCTCTTCGTGGCTGAGTTGCTGTCGTTCCCAAACACTTCCATTTTCTTATAATACAGCTGACAGTTGACTGTGGAATATTTAGGAGCGAGGAAATTTCACGACTGGATTTGTTGCACAGGTGGCATCCTATCACAGTTCCACGCTGGAATTCACTGAGCTCCTGAGAGCGACCCATTCTTTCACAAATGTTTGTAAAAACAGTCTGCATGCCTAGGTGCTTGAATTTATACACCTGTGGCCATGGAAGTGATTGGAACACCTGATTCCAATAATTTGGATGGGTGAGCAAATACTTTTGGCAATATAGTGTATCTCCTTCAACCAGTGCATTGCTGGCCAGTGTGGAGCTATTAAAATCAGCATGTGGTGGTCCTCACTCAATCTGGACAGAGTGGGAGCTATCAGAGTCAGGGGAAATTCCAGTCAGGCCTGAGCACATCCACGCCGAGGGGGGCGTCCTGATCACGCATAAAAAAGAAGGGTGGGCACTTAGCCCACTTAGCGTTCTCTCTGGACGTTATTAAAAACCTGCTGATTGTGATCCATTGCTTCCACTTTCAGCTGCAACATCCCACCAGAGAGGATGCTAAGGAAAGAGAAATGTTAAAGATGTGCAGAAACAAACTGGAGGCTAATTTGGAGCTTAAAGCGTAGATTGTCGCTGTTCCAGATGATGACCCAAAGCTAATTGTTATTAGTGTCGGTAGTACCGCAGTCAACTTTGTGGTTATAATGTGGTGCTTCATTCTTTAATAGGTGTTATAAAGTTTATTGTGTTTTCTACCGGGGCTGCTCCCGTCATATTAGCATCACCCTCCCTCTGACTCTGAAGGCTTGAGGTCCACTGCCGATGGATCTTACCTGGAAGCTGTGATGCCTTAATTTCCCTCAGCATCACTACCCTCTCCTGTGCCTAAACTGGCTGATGGTTCAAGCACACAAACCAATTCCAGACTAGATGTTCTGGAACAATTGTAAGTGTTTCCATCCATCTCCATTATAGCATGCTGAGGTGGCTCCAGCGGTGTTCTCCTTCTGACGTCACTACATGTAGATGGGTTTTTACTAGCTGCTGTTGGGCTACTGAATGTAGGCTATTATTTGTAAATAAAAAGCCTGATTGATTCCTAATAACTCAGAACCACCTAGTATGTCCTACTATTTAGATTATTATTTTAATGCTAATTTACATTAAATTATTATTGTGTCATCAAAGCTTTAAAGCTGCTGGGTTGTTTTAAAACTGAAGGTAACATCTGACCTTGACCTCCACAGTTCCCTGTCATCCGACGGCTCCCCCGGAACTGGCTGAGAACATCTATGTGTGAGGACCAATCAAAGCTCTGCAGCACCCCACCAACACTCAGCTCTGATTGGCTGAGCTTTGTGAAACTCAGTGTTATACTTTTGACCAAAGTATAACGCTATGACCAAATGAACCCACAATCTGATGGTGGATGGAGATAGAACCTGCTGCGCTTCAGACGTCTTTATCTTCTAATCTGCCCCATAAAGCCAAGGACACTTTGAGTTCTAGAAGTTCTGTTTACTTACTAGGAGTCAAACTGAACCAGGTCTATTATAGCTTTTTCCCTTTAAGGTTCTGACTTGAACTCTAAATCTTTGAACAGAGCTCTCTGCCTGGTTCTGCTCCAGAGTCTGACTCAGTGGTCCAATTTAGCTGTCAGACACTGTAGCAGATCAAGTTAAAGGTTCTCTTTTTGAACTGGACCTTCACAGATGGCTGAAGTTCCTTCAGTGTTGACTGATTTCTATCAGTCTGTAGTGAAGATCATCTGCTAGGAACAGGATCAGAACAGACTGATTCAGAGATCAATAAGCTTTTTCAAACCTGCTGTAGACACACCTCTACAGAAGATCCTTCCTGCATCCAGAATCAGGAAGGTGCTGGATGAAGAAAGTTCTAAAAGAAGGAAGTTCTAAAAGAGTTACTAGAATGTTTTATTTCCCTTTAGGATCAATAAAGTACTATTTGTTTTTGTGCTTTTGTTTTGTTGCTGCTTCCAGGACCAGTTTCTACTAGCAGATTTTTCCTCACCTGGACATTACTGCAATGTTTTAATCAATTCAAAATGAATGTGCTGCCATCACAAAAACCAGTGAAGGGACAGAAAACCCCTAATGATTGGTAGAAACCTTCTCTCAGCAGAAAGTGGTTCTGGTTCGTCTTCAGACACTTCCTCATCAAAATGGCTCTGTCAGAGTATTAGGACCCAGATTTCTCCACAGGAAGGATTGTTTGTCTGTTTATAAAATTCTTCAGCTCCTAAAAAACTTGTCCTGCTGAATAACTCAACCCGGTCTGTGGTAGAACTGCTTTAAAGAGTATGCAACTTGTTTTATCACCCTGAACTGACAGACAGGAGCAGAAATAAACCTGCTTAAACAATAAAATGTATTCTTTAAAATCAAAACCCTTTCAGTTCATGTGATTCTTCTAGATGTTTCCATTTTAACTGATTTATGGGCTGATTGATTCTGAAACTTCACACCACGCTGCCTTCCTTCTGATTCTGCTGTTTAAACTTGACCCATGAAAAAACAAACTGGCCGATAATTTCTGGACTGTAAACAGCCTCCTGCAACAGAGGGAGGCTTGAGTCTGGTCCGGTTCTGAACTCGGTTCATGAAGCTGTGCAGCCTGGAACTGGTTCTGATCCTGAAGCAGGTTGAACTCATGTCTGAAGTCCAGTGGTGTTAGAGAGTCAGGACCCTTCCTGGTCTTTCACCGCTCAGTGGTTCCTTTTTAGAGCTGAGCAGAACCGATCCCCTGTTCTGCGGCTCATGGTTATTACATCAGTAAAGACCAGCAGAAGGCGCTATTGGTTTCACCAGGAAGGCCTTTATTGTTGGATTATTTCTAGAATAGATCAGAGCCAACACCAAGAGGACGAATATAAGCTGTAAACAAATCATGATGAGGTTTTAAAAAAGTCTGACGATCAGTAAAATATCATTAGAAAATAAAAACACAGAAATAAATTCATCAGAGGACGGTGATCTGCTCCTCTTCGTCCTCCTTTTCTTTCTCCTCATCCTTCCTTTCTGGAGTCTGCAGACAAACAGAACCGATCAGAACCATGAAGATCATCGTTTTACAGCCTGCATGTTAAAGGTATGTTGAGGATTTTCATGAATTTTTAAAAAGTCATCTGAGGCTGAGTTTATTAACTTTAGCCATATTCTGAACAAGCTTCCTAGATTCAGGTTTGATCCACGGCCACAGAACAACTGCTCCTCCTTCAGTAAGAGTGTGAGTCTCAGAAAAAACGTGTCCCAGGTGTGTGATAAGCAGCTACTCACCAGGAAGAGGAGAGTGTGGTGGATGATGAATTCTCTGGTCAAGTCGATAATGTCCTGGTTCATGGCATGGAACATGGAAGGTGCCAGAACCACAGCCAGGTTATGGGCCGACATCTTGTTGACCTGAGAGAACACCTGGACCCTGAGACAGAGTGGGAGGAGCTAATTAACAGGTGGAGGTGGTGGCTGAACATGTGACATTATTGTGTGGGACGTTACATGTAAAAGTGTCCAAACAGCACGTTGAGGGTTGCTTTGTTGTCTGCTGGGAGTTGTCGTAGTAACCGTCTGTATTCCTTGAACCTGCTTCGTTCATCTGAAATCACTGAGAGACAGAAGGACAAAGAGAGCAGGTGTTAGCTGGGCTGGAGATGGGTCATCACAACTGGCTTGGTGGGTCAGGCCCTTCTGACACCACCTGCACAGTAGTTTCCCCCTTAAAGCATGTTCAGTGCGGTGCAGGTAAACGGGCCTGTTCATTAGGAAGCCCACAGCTTCTGGTCTTTGGTTCTTCTGTTGTTCTGCAGATTTACTGAAGTTCTTCCTTAACCGCCTCTGGTTCCACTGATTTCTCCTCCATGATGACCTCATCATCACTCCATTCTCATATTCTCAGCCAGACTCTGGACTATAACTGACCCGATCCAGAACATGGAGGATTTGGTCCACTAAGACGTGTCTTTAATTGGACGGGTCCACACCTGACCTCTGGCATCTGACCTTTGGCTGCTACCCTCTGGCATGGTTTGGTTGGCTGCTATTGTGATTTCCATAGCTACCCTCCTCTTCCCACTCAGTTTAATCTGAACTTCTCTTCCTCATCTTTGGTTCTGGTCATCTCAGCTGCTAATCCGGTATGCCACCTGAACAGCACCCTCTGTTTGAATCTCCTAATTTTCTCCTATGTCCAGTCACTGTATTAAAATCTGACCCACCTGCGGTCCAGGAACAGAGATGGTTTGATTCCGACTGGTGATCGTACCAGCACCGCTAAACGGATCAGAACTGAGTGCAATAAATTCTTAACCAGTATGAGGTCACTCCATCCAAACCCAAAACAATTAAAAGTTTCTTTGTTTCAATCATTTTATGAAAAGTTCAGTCGGTACCTGCAGCCTGCAGCCACTGCTGCCGTTCTCCATCAGGGATCAGGTTTTGATGGTCTCGGATGTACTGTTTGAGGGCGGAGCCAACGTCCAGAATCCCCTGCTCATCTGCCTCCAGTGGGGCAGTGTTTGGTGATGTCACCAGTACCTTCAACAGTTCTTTGACCCTGGTTGCGAGACCGCAGCGCCGGTACAGACCCTCCACCCGCAGACCTGCATGCAGAAACAGAGGCCCCACCCACTCAGCTTTCCATGGAAACAGCCTGCCTTACAGAACCGGTCCTGATTCTCCCTCATCTTTTCTGGTACTGAAGGTATTGGACTAAGAAGCTGCTGCTGACTTGGTGTTTTTCTCTGGGAGAACAGTACCAGGTTCTGGTTCTGGTTGACAGTTTGTAACAACCAGAACCGTTGCCACAACTGTCACCTATCAGACAGACTGAACGACTCACCGTAGGTGGTGATGTGGGAGATGCAGCGCTCGATGGCCGGGGAAACAGAACCTCCAATCCCGGCATCAATGTTAGAGTACAGACCCCCAGGAGCTGGGCTCTGATTGGCTCTCCCTGGTTTCTCAGGAGCTGAATCCTGGTTGGCCAGAGCTTTCTGCAGGTGTTGGTTCCAGGTTTCACAGCTATGTTGCTCCTTAAAACGTAAGGATATGGTCCTGAAGAGAGAGAAGACCTTTACCTGTTGATCACCTGTTGAGGGCTCAGACAATCAGAACACATGAAAGAAAAGCTTTCCCTGCTGAGGATTCAATCAGAAATACCGTCAACTGTTTAGCGCCTAAATGAGCTAAACTCAACCTCAGAGTGAAAACAAATGTCTCTAGTCCTGTTAAAGAACTAACCCCTGACTTCACTGATCATTAAAAGAAGACATCCACAGAGAGTTACTACTGCCTGCAAGTAATAGTGGTGTTCTGGAATAGTCCGGATCCAGACACGAGTCTGATGGAGAGTCTCTGCGGGGGAGCTAATGATACCTGGAGCTCATCACCAGATCTAACCCATCAGAACCGCAAAGGAACCTGCTCCACTGAAGAAGGTTTGTTGGTTTAACCTCTGAATGTTGAGATGGACAAAAAACAGTGTCCAGATTTTGAATACTGATTATTGAAGGTGAATAAATTCTGAAGACTGCTCCTCCTTTGGCTCATCAGGAACCAAAGCTTCAGGTTAAACTTCGACCTGCTGGGGGTAGGAATTATTTAGAGCTGGAGTTAGTTTGAGATACTCACTTATCTTGCGTTACCAAGGTGATGGTGTCGTCCTTTATAACTGTTCCTAAAAGAGGAGATGAAATATGTTCATTAAAGGAAACAGACTTTCTACTATTGATCTAAATACTGTTTCTTCTTTCTACTCTGAAAACATGATGAGAAGTGAGATGTTTGATCTTCGGGCCAACTAAACTTCAATGAGCTGTCAGTGTGGAGTGGACACACCCGGAAAGTCCTTTGGTCAAATCATTTAGTCCAGACCAAAGCAGAACTAGGACTGTTTGCTTTCCCATTGTTCTTTTTACAGGTGAGCTATAATTAGTAACCCTGAGTCTAACATCGATGCTCCTGTTGGACAGAAAGGACTTAGTGACCTCTTTGGGGTTTAGTGGTTTTCACAGGACCTGGTCTGCATAGATTGGGTCCTTTGGTGGATACAGCCCCAAAATTAGATCACACCCCTATTCCTGCAGGTTCTGCTACGGTGACTCATTAAGTCCAAAAAGGTTTATTTTTCTGTGGAAGATTAAATGTCTGCTGTTATTTACAGATTTAGCAGAGTAACATTCTCCATGTAACAAGAGAAGTTTGAGCAGCACATAGTTCATGGATTGGTATGCAGATAAGAGAATTATGCTACTTCCAGTTCCTAGAACAACAGTTATATACCATGTTTTTGAGATCTAGCAGCAGATGAGATCAAACTGATACAATATAGATAACTTAAAGAAAATATTTAGTGAAGTTGCTGGAAGGTTTCTGTAGATTCTCAGATTAGTCTGAACCAGTTAAAATACTCACAGACACAAGAATGATCTGATTTTATATGTTCCTATAACATTTTGAATGTGGGGGGTTCTTTCAGTTTTATCTTACTTTTAGAGGCATCTCTGTTTAACACACCTGATTAAAAGGGGATTATTAGTATAACTCTACAGCTGAGGTCTTCAACAGGGGGTCCACGACACCTAGGGGGTCCACTGAAGTACTGCATAGGGGTCATGAACGTTATGGTTGATTAGACTTTTTTCTTTATATTCCCTCCTGCAATTTTTTCCATTAATTGAAATGTGTTTAAATACACATTAACATGAATTCAACGCTCTGATGTAAACAAATAAATGGAGGCAGAAGATATTTTTGCAGTCATCGATGCACACATTCAGTGACACACAGGAGCTCCTTCAAGCTGGGCACCGTTTAATTCACAACACCTGTCCCATCAACCAGGAATCAGAATCAGACATACTTTAATAATCCCAGGGCGGAAATACAATCGTTACATGTATCTATACTCCATACATGACTCAGTGGCTATAGAACCAGTTTGATATAACACAATTTTATACAATATATATAATTAGGGGGGTCCCCGCTCCATGTTGCCATCAGTTACGACTTAGAAATATCTTAAAACAGAGAAACAGCTTTTAACACAGCAAGACATGGGAAAACAAGAAAACCGAGTTTAATATAGAGACAGGATTACAAGAAGTTAAACAGGGTTAAACAGAGAGACCGGATTAAACACAGTAGGACAGGGTTAAATAAAGAGAGACAGTTAAACATGGGGGGACAGGATTAAACACAGAAGGACATGATTAAACAAAGTTAGAGAGGGTTAAACAGTTAGACAGGCTTAAAGACAGGGTTAAACACAGAGGGAAAGGGTTAAACAGAGAGAAACAGGGTTAAAAAAGAGAGACAGACTTAAGCACTGAGAGAAAGGATTAAACAGAGAAAGTTTAAAATATAGGGAGACAGGGTTAAACACAGAAAT